ATGGTCGAGATAACAAATATCTTCCTCTTTGGTGTCCATCCTTGCATTGGAATAGATAATATGATCTTCAGATGGATAAACCCATATTTTTTCTTTCTCAGTAATTATCTGAGTTACATGTTCAAATATTTCTTTATACCCTTTTGCTCGCCTGTAGGGCATCATATTTAAAATATCTTGATATCCATTTTTAACAACCTTTTGATTGGCTGGTAAAAAATGCTGATTTGTTAGTCCCATTTTGATCACATGGAACGATGGATGCATATATTCAAGGGTAGGATCTCATTCCATTGTTGCTGAATAGAATCTAATGTATATATTTGTTGTTTTAACAACTTCAGTATATCTCTTGACAGCTTTCCTGATGTTGGCTGGAAGCTGAGCTATTTCCTTGAGCTCTTTACTAGGATATATACAAAGTATATTTCCTATTTCGAAACAATTTCGAACCCAGTTAGCTGGTGCTCCTGGATAAAAGTTTATCTTGTTGTATTTCGAATAGTGGAGAGTCTTCATCCACTTTCCAATCTATAGATACCAATCTGAAAGAATATTAAAAATAACAATAAAGAGTGTTACTTCTTCATAGTTATCTTTTTTGGGCATTTCTGCTTCATGGCATATTTTGACAATATCTTTGGGATCTATCCTTTCAATAGAAAGTTTAGATTGAGTTTGGCTCTGTGAAGAGCTACCTTCTCTTTTGATATCTTGAATATCTCTATTACCAGTAATAGGTTTAAGTATTCCCTGTGAAGGGGTTCCTATTACCTTCTTTTCTTTCCCTTTATCCTCGGGGAGAGCGCTAGTATTCACAAGTCCCTGCGAAGGGATACTAGTCTTGGTACAAGTAACTTCTGCCTCTTGGGCTAAATTCTTGCCTCGAAAGCTATCTTGGATATTTTGAATTTGGGTTTCCAAATAGGAAACTTTTATCTCAAGTATCTGGACTTTCGTCCTTAATTGTTCTAGCTCCATCCCTGCTAAGATAATCAGGAAGAAAGTTAGCTTTTCCTTTAATATATTCAATATCAAATTTGAAGTATGAAAACCAAATCTGTATTATAATTATGTATCTATTAGTCACAGATGGATCAACATTATTTTTTAAAAATGCTTTAACTTGAGTATTATCAGTTCTAATCAAGAACTTCTTTGGTAATAAATAATCTTCATATTTTTGAACTCCTCTTTTTACAGCAATGAGTTCTTTTCTATTCGTCTCATATCTTGTTTCAACTTCTTTGAATGTTCCTGATGTATAACCTGCAAGTATTTCAGGACAAGAACAATCTTTTTCACACTTATATTCCTTATGATTCTTTTTAACCTTTAATACTGCTCCCCAGTAGTAATCTGAAGCATCAGTTTCCTGGATGAAAAAATCTTCTTCTTGAGGTATTACAAGTTTGGGCAATACCTTTAATTCTTCTTTTACCTTTCTTATGTTTTCACAATCTTGTTCTTCCCAAGACCACATTATATTTTTTCTTAATTTTGGAAGAAAATAATTTTTCAGTTTGGCACAATTTTCAATGAATCCTTCAGCATAATTTAATATACCAAAGAAGCTTTGTAATTGTTTTTTATCTTTGATTTCTTCAGGAAATTCTTGAAACTTTTCTCCAATATGGGATTGCAATTGCAATTCTCCTTCTTCTATAAATAATCCTAAGAATTCTATTTCTATTTTAGCTATCTCAGCTTTCTTTTGAGAAAGTGTAATACCATGTTTTTTCATAATATAACAGAATTTCTCAAGATGTTCAATATGTTCATCAATATTATTTGAATGAATAAGTAAATCATCTACATATGCAATACAAAAATGAGTAATTGGTTTGATTACCTCATCCATTCTTCTTTGAAACATCTGTGGTGCATTTTTCAACCCAAATGGCATTACATTCAATTCGTATTATCCTAAAGGATTGGGGGTACTAAATGCAGTTAGTGATTTACTTTCTTCTGTAAGCATGATTTGCCAAAACCCTGACTTACAATCAAATTTTGAAAATATCTTTTTGTTCTGTACTTGTTTAATAAGGGTATCCTTATTTGGCAAGTAGTATCCATCAAATTTGGTAACTTCATTTAATTTTTTGTAGTTTATTACCATTCTGGCTTTTCCTCTTTTTATCTCACTATGCTTTCTAACCATAAAGGCTGGGCTACTATGTGGGCTTTTACTTGGCCTAATCAATCTGGCTTCTAGTAATTCTTTTATCTGGTTTTTTAAATTCTTTTTGATCATCAACACTATATTTCATAGGTTTGACCCTAACAATAGTATCTGGATTAATTAATTCTATCTTTCTTAATAAAATATCACATCCTATTGTGGTTGACATATATATTGTATCAACAAATACTTCTCTAAAAGAAATTAGAAAAGGTATTTGAGTAGCATACTTGCTGTATATTACTTTATTTCCTCTTGCTGTTGTAGCGGTTACAACTTTCTTTGAATTATATTTCCAGTATTCAGATGGCAATACATTAGGTAAGCAAAGGCTTATTGTACTTCCTGTATCTAAGTAAGCGTGAAATTTAATTCTACAATATTCTTTTATATTGAGTGTAATTTCAATATATGGGCTCATGGGATTAGTACTTATTACTCTTTCCATGATAACAATGATTTCATATTTTCATCTATTCTTGGAATGATAATTGGATTATCATCAACTGTTATTTTTAAATATCCTTGGCAGATTTTATAAGGGCTATATATCTCAAGGAAGTTCATTCCTAATAGAATAGGTGAACGATTCACTCCGTATAATTCATCTTTATATAGAATTATTTCTTTAGTATATTCTTTCTGATTCTCTCCTACAAGTATAAGAGGAAATTTAACATGTTTTCTTATTTCAAGATTATTTCCTAAATAATCCTTAAAAATATATGGTTCTGGTATTTCAAAGTCTATTAGATGACTAACAAACTTAGCATTTACATGACTTTTATCTGCTCCAGTATCTATAAGGACAAGAAGATTTTTCTTAAATCCTTCTTGGTTTACATATCTTGTCTTAATGTAATATTGTGAACTTGATGGTTCAGCAATACTTAAATTTTTAAGTCTACTTATACTGAAATCTTGTCTAGAGGGAAATCTTGCAATAAGATTGTCTCCTTCTAGGCTGACACTATTTCTTCTTATTAA